CCCGCCAAGCTAATCCCTGAATCCTCGCCAGGAAACAGCTCTCTGTCATGCACAGTGTGAACTCCCATCCTTTCCTCCTCTGAAATCCTTACTCAGTCGTCATGAAAGAGCTCAAATGCCACCTCTTCCAGGAAGCCTTCCCTGAGACCAGGCACAGTGAATGACAGGGCTTTCTCATCCAGGTATAACTCGGATCATCAATTCCCTCTCACATGCTGGACACCCCATTCCAGCCACATTGGCCTCCTTGCTGCTCCTCAGACAGAGTGAGCAGTGTTTCACTTCACAGCCTGTGTAGTTGCTGGTTCCTCTGCCTGAAAGGCCCTTCCCAGATGTCCACACTGCTTTCTCTCTCACTTCCTTCAGACTCTGCTCAAATGATGCATCAGAAAAGCCTTTCCTGACCACGCTGTATGAATAGTACCCCAGCCCCTCACTCTTGATCCCCTTGCACAGTTGTATTTTTCTCCATAGCAGCTACCACTTGACATATCATATGTTAATTACAGGCTTTTTTGTTTGTTTTTCCTTGCCCCCAGTAGAAATTAACTGCATGGAAGCAGGGACTTTATATTTTTGGTTCACTGCTTTATTTCCCAGCACTCAGCACGTATAGCAGGTGCTCAGTGAGTATTTGTTGCATGAATGAATGGCTCTGGATTTGCATCCCAGGATTTGTGTCCCTAGCTGCTCCCCAGCCTGTGAGCCCCCAGTCTAAGGCTAGGTCTCCTACCCTTCTGTCCCAGATTCCGAGTTCCTGGTCTGGGAGAACTGTGACTATATTTGCATGATAGATACTCCCTCTAATAACTGGTGTGGAGGGTGAGGTGGGGTGCAGTCAGGATGTGAGCCTAGAGGTGGGAGCCGAAGCAGTTGGGAAGAAAAGCAGAGGACTGAATCTGGACTCTTAGAGAGGATCAACTTGGTGACCTCCCCCATCAGTGGGGAGACCTGGGAGGGCTCCCAGGGGAGATGTCTGAGCTGTCCTCCGGCAACAAAGGAGAGGGAGGTGTGTTCCTGGCAGAAGGCACAGCTTGTACAAAGGCCTGGCAGCGAACCCAGTCTTCAGCTCAGGAAGCTGCGAGTAGTGTGGTGTGGCCAGAGTGGAGAGTAAGTGGGGGGTGGGGGGAGCAAGGCTGGGTAAAAGGGAGAAGATGGGTGATGAGGGTTCCTGGGTTTCTGGCCTGGGAAAACTGGGAGAATGGTGGTGCCATCTCTGAGATGGGAACAGAGGAGAAAGAGCAGACTTGGGGGACATGCTAAGTTAAATGGGGGCCCTGTTGAGTCTGAGCTGTCCAGAAACATGGAGGGGAGGAGACAGCTGGCTGGAAAGACTTGGACTGGAGACGCAGACGTGGTGTGGAGATGAAGAGGTGCACAGGTAGAGGGTGAGGCCTAGAGGCATCAGTCGAGGTACACTGAGGATGCGCTGAGGGTTGCCGTGCAGAATCGGGCATAACCCACTTTGGTGCGTGGGACCTCCCCAGGGGTGGTGGAAGGGATTGTCCTCGAAGCAGGCATCCTCAAACACGATTTGGCAGCGGATGACGCCCAGGCCTCCCTCAAGGGGAATGAGTCATCCCAGGCAGAGGCGGGAGCCACCAAGGGCACCCTTTGCCTGGGCTATCCAAACACTTGTCAAGATCATAAACATGGCTCATCAATGTCAGGGCCACCTCCTGTGTCTGGCCTGGGTAGTTAGACCACCTCCTTACATCTTTCTCTTCTGCCTAGTCCTCTGCAAGTGAGGGCCATGTCCTCTCTGTCTGGATCGTAGCTGGTCCCCTGCTCAACCTGGCCCTGGGGTTCACAGCAGCTTCCAGAATTCAGAATGAGGCCCAACTGGTTCCTGAAGAAATGCCAGCCAAGGCTACTTGAACCAGCTGTGAGGAGGGCAGGATCTGCCTGCTCTGTCCTGCTCTGGGCCTTCTCTGAGGGACCCAGGTGGATGGGACACATCCTAAGGAGAAGGCTTGGCCAAGCAGAATCTGGAGCTAGAGTTAGCATCCTTTGGGAATAGCTGGACACCTGGGGGTGGGGGACCCAGCCTGAGAGGAGGAACCTGAGGGGGTAGTGCCAGGCCTTCCCAGAGCCAGGAGACAGATATGGGGTTGCACTTTGTACATTAAGGCTCTTGCTCGGTGGCTTCTTGACACCAACACACCCCAGTCCCACATTGCTCGGGCACAAACTGCTTCACTATCCACAATCTTATCCATTTCCTTTTGTAGCCCTGGGAGTTGGCAGGATGGTGGCCATCTACCTGATTCACGTATGAGGAAACTGAGGCTCTAAGAGACTCAATGACTTGTTTAAGACATCACAGCCCCAGCCTGTGAGGACAGGATTGGGGTAGCTTTTCTCAGTGGGGGAAGGCCTGAGTCTGACCATTCTCAGCTGCAAGACTAGGCTGGACCCTGGGAAGCTCCCCATGCCCAGAGGAGCCCTTGCTCTGCCCTGGGCCTGGGTCCCAGCCTCTCCATCGTTCTCTTTGCCCATGTGGCCCCTAGTTATCTGCTGAATCGGTTTCTACAAAGCATCTACAGGGCCTAAGCTTGAGGAGGGCTTTGATCTGGAGGAGCCCCCAGAAAGACCTCAAGCTTGCCCAAGACACACAGCCTAGCCCAGAGGGCAGCCCCAGGCTGGTGAACAGGTGACATTGTGGGAAGTTCAAACTTGACCTGTGTTCAGGGTCCCATGGCCCCCACAGTGCACATGATCGCACTTATACACCCATATAGACCACACTGATAGATTTCAGTCTCCATGCAGACGTGTGCCTCTGTGTGGACCCCCCCCCCCC